CAATCAGGAAAGAAAATTCCTCTTACAATATCTCTCTGGGGACTTCTACTGGCAAAGCTTTACATTTGTCAGCTAGCAAAGAAAAAATGTTGAGATGTTCTACTCTATTTTTGTAGAGTAGACAATGAAGGCTAAATGTGGAGCCTAGGGGCAACAGATTAATAACTAGCACAATCCCAAGTCTCTATGCCCAGAGAAGGGAGGATGATTGGTCGAGATGGTGTCACCCTGGATTGGTCAGTCACTTCTGCTGAGAATGGAACTGCATTCATAGAAAGAGAAGCAGTGAGCGTGGAAAGGCAGGTGCAAGAAAGCAAACTGGTCACCGAGCAGCCCCTGCTATCCCAGGAAGAGAAACTAGTGTTTCAGTCACTAGAGAAATTGTCTGTCCTATAGATCAGAGACACTTCATCAAGCTTCACCTTGGCTTGAAAAATATTCCTCAAGACTGCCCATTTCCTTTTATTCAGACATGCAGCTCACCAAGTAATCTGATTTTTCTTACCATCCACCCGACTATCAGCTGAGGGACACATCTTGGCAGTGGATACACATATTCTGCTGTTTGGAAAGGGATGTCATCCACTGTGATCTAATAGATCGGCCTTTGATGGCTATATAAGCCTTGGGTGGTATTAGTGAAAGTCTGTCACCAAGACTCTGCTCCTAGCTGGTGCACTAAGAAAGCCAGATTCTGATCCTGAGAAGCTGAGAACCAGGTTTTGGACTTGGGGGACCAATCAGGGTGCTCTCCTAAAGAACCTGCAGCCTGCGCCCCAGACAATTATTGCTGCCAGCGCATTCCCCAAGGAAGAACTCTGCAGCATACGTAATTGGGCGTGGATAACTAACATTCTATAAAGGTCTAACCAACAACCATTCTGTAGTTGCTGGATTTACAGGCATTTTTCAGTCTTTCACTATTATATATAACATAAGGATGAATATCTTTGTGATTAGTATTTGTGATCAGTGTTTTTTTTTTGCTGTTGTTTTGTTTGTTTTTGTATTTCAAATGATCCCTTTAGGATAGATGATCAGAATTGGAAATAAATTGATGTCAAATCACGCCTTCCTTTGAGGGTGTGTGTGTGTGTGGAGGGGAAGCATGAATGTTTTATTAGCTCTTAAGACCTATTGCCCAATGATTTCAGAAATGTACCAATTACAGTTCCACTTGAGACCATTTCAGGACATCCTGATTCATACAGGGTATTATGGTTTAATGTGTGTGTGTGCACGCGCATTACCCACATACATATGAAATCTTGCTTTCTTTACGTTTTTTAGTTAATATTCATGTTAGATATTCATGCTGACAGGAGATATTCAATCCTCTTGCCCTCTTCTGAGAGTCATCTGTTCAGGTCCTTCACAATTGAGACGAATTTTATTTCAATCTTTGGGGAGTTTCATGTCCCAGATTCTTAATTCTGTCCTCTTTTAGATGGAGGGGAGCTCTTCTCCCACCTCTAACTCCTTTGGAAATTCCTTTCTGAATTCAAGTGTCTTTGGTATAGGAGGACTGGGCTTGGTGGCTGTGAGCCTTGATGAGAAGGGACACAAATATATGGCAGTCTGAAGCCTGCAAAGAAGGTCGAGTTTCATCCCTGGGTGGAGAGTCTTCAGAGGGAAGGAATTGGTCTGTATATAGTTTTCTCTCCACTCTCCATTTTTAAATACCCCAGAGGGACCCTGGGTGTTTTTCTTCTCCTTATTTGACTCAAATTGAGTCTTTAAATAAACTATGCTCCTCGTAGGAGCTTAAGACACATATTTAGAGGAAATGTGTCATTGAAAGTGCTATTTTGAAGTCATGCGGTAAATTATCAGAGCAGGAATCTCCTCACCCCCTCTGAGTTCTGTGCCTTCTTTGGCTCCGGGGCTTAGAGAAAAACTTTCTTTTCTTTCCTCTCCCATCCCCTTTGCCTTCTAAGACTGACACAGAGAACATGGCTTGCCCTGAGAAACTTGCAGGTGGCGAGCAGATGGCAAGTACGAGGCAGTTGTGTGTGTTGAAGTAAGCGTGGGATGTGTGGGAATGCAAGAGGTGATAGTAACTCATTCATGTGGGGAGTGGGGCTCAGCAATGGTAATCAAGGGAGCTTTGGGGACGAGGGGACATTGGTGGTCACCTTAAATGATAGACAAGTTTTGGAAATTTAGCAAAGGAGTCAGCTAAGTTTCTATTAGTTTCCACTCTGTCTCACTGGTACCAGCAGGAATCCTGGTTCTCCATGTTGCTGCTAGAGACAGTCATCCATCCATCCATCCATCCATCCATCCATCCATCCATCCATCAATGCATACATACAACATACATACATCTGACAGTTTATTTAATCACTTATTCATCCTTCCAATGATCCTTCCATCTTCCCATCTATTTTACACTATCTGCGAAGGCCCTACTCTCTGCAGCATACTGAAGGCACAAATATTAATAACACAAGATTCTAGCTTTCAGGGTGCACATAGTCTAGTGGTTAGCTGAATAACTTAAAAATAGATAACAATACAGTGCAATAAGTGTTTAGGGTATGCCTGTATAAAAGTCTCTTTTACCCAAAAGGCCTTACCTGATCACCCCGTCTGAAATAGGCTCTAGTTATTATTCTTTTTCTTTTCTTTTTATTTTTTTTAAAGATTTTGTTTATTTATTTGACAGAGAGATAGAGAGAGAGCACAAGTAGGCAGAGAGGCAGGCAGAGGGAGAGGGAGAAGCAGACTCCCCGCTGAGCAGGGAGCCCTACGTGGGACTCAATCCAGGGACTGCTGGATCATGACTTGAGCCGAAGGCAGCTGCTTAACCAACTGAGCCACCCAGGTGCCCTGTTATTATTCTTTTTCATCATATTCTTCTTATTTTCCTTTACAGCATTTATCACAATTTGTTATTATATACTTAATAGTATGTTTATTTGCTTCCTGTCTTCCCCCATTAACTGGAAGCTCCATGGGGGTAAGTTCTATGTCTGCTTTGCTTATTCCTGAATACTCAACACGTAGTCTATGTGTGGCATCCTGCAGGCCTGTAGGAAACATTCACCAAATGAATTAATAAATAAGCACTGATCACACCCAGGAATGATCATTTCTTGCACTAAACCAGTGGTTCTCAAAGTGTGATCCTGGGACCAGCAACATCACTTACTAAAAATGAAAATTCTTGACCTCACCTGTTGGTTCACAAACTGGCGCCGTACACAGAAGGCAGAGAGAGAGACCAAAGAAAGAGGCAGGCCACTCCAGATTGGTAAGTGGCAGGTTAATAAGCAAGGGAACTTACTTACAAGACTTGGCTTTTGTGGCCACAAGAGAAGTACATCTCTGCACCCAACCACCTAATCTTAAAAGTTTATATAGAAGCCTTAACTGGGTTCAGCCATGTCTTCAGTCCCAGGTGGTCTCAACAACACTTTACTCTCTCAAAGCTACATCCTTGGAATGCTCCCACTGTGGGGACAGTAGGCAGAATACACATCCCAAGGACAGGGGAGGGGGTGAGGAGCGTCCCATTGCCCAGGTCCTGCTTGAGGGTCAGCCAGCAGTCATGTCCTCAGTTACCTCCTCCCACACCACCCTACACCAGAATTAGAATCAGAAACTTAGAAATCAGCAATCCACATTTTAAAAGCCTCGTGGGTGATTCTGATGCATGCTAAAGTCTGGGAACACTGCACTAAATTAATAAATGGTAATTCTAGTCTATTTTCGACATCTCTAGATTTCAGTGCAGAGACAAGAGTAATTGTGTCTGGACTGGGGAATACTTCATGGAGAAAGTGATATTTTTAAGGAAGCCTTGAGCTAGATGAGCCAGAGAAAGGCAATTCAGGCAGAAAACTGTATGACGGAAAGTGTGGATTAGCCTGGCCTTTGGAAGAATCTATAAGTAGTCTGCATGGCAGGGAATGGCATGAGATGAGGATGGAGATGTAAGCAGGGGTCTTGAATGCCAGGTTTCAAGCGAGGAGGTATCATGTACTCCATTTCCCCTCCCTGTGGCTGTCCAGACGGGCCTGAGTCAGATTTCCCCAGGCTCACTTCCCACCCCTTCCTTCCTTTCTCCTCCCTCCTTCCCCTCCTCCCTCTTCTCTCAGCTCCTCCCTCCCCCTGGGGGTGAGACAGCTAGGCTCCCAGGCCAGCCCCACCCTGCCCTCCCTGGCCAGCCAGCCCACTGATGTCAGCTTGGTGGGGCTGTCTGGTTTGAGCTTTGGAGCCAGGCCTAGTCACCTCCCTCACAACTCCCTGCTTTGTGGGAAAGCCCAGGATGCTGATACGCTCAAGTAGCTCATTGAGGGCTTCCAGGGCTCAAGAGAAAGAATCTCCTCCTCTGGAGACATCTTGCTCTGGGGGAGGGAACCTTGGTGTCAGAGCCAGGGTTTCTCAGGACCCAGGCTTACGTCATACCACCTCCAGGGGACTGGCTCCAGGCCCTCTCCTTGCCTAGTGACTCACAGCAGGCCCCATTCTCTAGGGTCCTCAATCCAATTGTGCTTGGAGGTGATGAAGCTGATCATAGCCTTAATGCCGCCAATAGGTACTATGTATCCAGCACTTAGTGTGTTGGCACTATGAGTCACCTACACCTTGTAGCTCTCAACTTTATGCAACCCCAATAATATTTTTCAATGCCAATTTTACTTTATTTTTTTTGAGATTTTATTTGTTTATTTGAGAGAGAGCAAGGAGAGAGCGAGAGAGCACAAGCAGGGGGAGGGGCAGAGGCAGAGGGAGAGGGAGAAGCAGGCTCCCTGCTAAGCAGGGAGCCCAGTGATGATGTGGGGCTCTATCCCAGGACCACGACCTGAGCTGAAGGCAGACACTTAACTGACTGAGCCACCCAGGTGGTGCCCCTTCAATGCCACTTTTAGCATTCATAGATAATATAACCAACCTGTATCACAGTTTCATAATATTAACAAAACAAAACAAAATGCCACAATTAACTTAAAGGAGGAAATAAAAGGTATTTAAAATACAAGAATATATATTCGGTGCTTGTGTGGGCAGCACATATACTAAAACTGGAATGATATAGACAAGATTAGCATGGCCCCTGTGCAAGGACAACATGCAGATCTGTGAGGCGTTCAGGACGGAAACGCTTGTAACAGACGATGACTTGCGGGTATAAGGAAGTAGTCATTCCCTGTGAATGGGCAACAACTCTGAACACATCCCGATACAGATATGTGACATGATCGGCTCTGATGCCAATCAATTCCGATTTCTGCAGTGGCCACCTCTCCCGCTGAAGTTCCAAATAAAATAGAGTCCGGTCTCCCTTGATTGACATGGTGCCCTGCCGTCTTTTGTTTGTCCCTCCAGATCCATTCTCCCCCACTTCTCTTCCCTGCTCTTGGCCCCGGGAGCCACACTCATGCCCTCTGATTTCCTGCTGGGTTTGGCCAATGAAAGTCCTGACAGGAGATGGGGTGAGGGAAGGAAGGGAGATTGGGGTTTTTATCTTTCTGCCTATCTTCCTGTCTACACCCCTCATCCTAAGGCCGCTGCTATTCTCAAGGTGGCTATTATGGGTTGAATGAAAGCCCCCCAAAGCTGTGTCTGTGGAGCAACCTGATATGGTGGAGGCGGGCACAGGCAGGGAAAGAATTCACTCCAGGCCAAACAAAGGAGATAGAAGTTTAGTGACTACACTGCAACGGCAGCAGAGGAGAGACTGTCTGCCAGGAGGCGGTGGTGCGGGGCTGTCGTTAAGGGGGGGAAGGTGAGGAGGTATGGGGTATATGGCATTTTCCTTTTTTGGTACCTGTGCCCAGTTGTAAGCAGGCCATTGGTCAGCTAGGGCTTGTGGATATTTGGAGGTGGGTCGCCTGCTGGGCCTGTTTGCATTCAGCCCAGGGGTCACTGTGGGCCCTTTTACCTTACTCAGGTTTCCATTGCTCAAGCGTGCTGCCTAAAACAGTCCTCTACAATGTCCATATTCTAACTTCTGGAACCTGTGGACGTAGCCTTATTTGGAGAGAGGATCTTTGCCGATGTAATTAAGGCTCTCAAGATGTGATCACCCTAAATTCAATAACAAGTGTCTTTAGAAGAGACAGAAGAGAAGACAGAAGAGGAGATGGCCATGTAAAGACAGAAGCAGAGGGGCGCCTCGGTGGCTCAGTTGGTGAAGCGTCTGCCTTCAGCTCAGGTCATGATCCTAGCGTCCTGGGATATTTGCCCCGTTTGGGGTGGGGAGGGGGGGTCCCTGCTCCCCGGTCCCTGCTCAGCGGGGAGCCTGCTTCTCCCTCTCCCTCTGCCACTCCCCCTGCTCGTGCTCTCTCCGTCAGGTAAATAAATAAAATCTTAAAAAAAAAAAGGCAGAAGCAGAGACTGGAGTGATGCAACGGACCAAGGAAGGCTGGGAGCCGCCCACAGCTGGAAGAGGCCAGGAGGGATTCTCCCCTAGGGCCTTTGGAGGCACTGTGACCCTGCCGCTGCCTTGATTTTGGACTTTTGGCCTTGAGAATTGTGAGAACAGATTTCCGTTGCTTTAAGCCACCAAGGTTGTGGTGATTAGTCGCGGCAGCCTGGGGGATCTAATACTCTCAGCAACACTTCTCCCCTCTCAGGTTCTGGTGATCTCGCCTCTGCTCACACCTCGGATATAGTGGTGGTGACAGCTGGTGTCTGCCCTATCCTGTCTGGCTTCCCCACACCTGTCCACACCTTTGTAATTAGTCATTTTGCAAATCAACCCCTCCCTGACTTATTTTAACTGAATGCGCTGATTTCCTGTCAGGGCCCTGACAGTTACACAGGGCAAATACACTCCAGGAACATTCATGCCAAAATATGTCGTGATTCTTTGTAAAACAGAGTTTATTGTCTAGGCTCACGTAATTCTAACGTCAGATAGGTGAATGTCCCGTGGACCATATGAAAGCTGTGGGGGAGGGGCAACAGCTTGTCATTGTGTAGGAGTGTCCTAAGCATCACAGGACACCTAGCATCTCTAGTTAAAGGGGTTCCACAACCATGACCTTACCATTTCTGTGACATCATTCTATTGAGAACCACTGATTATGTAATATCTTATTTAAACCCTACAATGGCACGTTGGGTACTTTCTCCATTTTACACATGTGGAAATAGGCTCAAAGAAACAAACCTGCTTGGGTCTGTTGGGGGGGTGGGATCTGGGGTTCAGACTCAGATATGACTGGATTTAAAGCCTGAGTTCCTGATCACAAAGCTGTACTGCCCCTTTGTAGTTTGGGTCTTTGTCAGGGTCAAAGGGCAGAGACAGTGCTGGAGGAGATCAAGTCTAACTCATCACTGGGGCACCTGGGCGGTGCAGTCAGTTAAGCATCTGGCTCTTGGTTTCAGCTCAGGCCCTGAGATTGAGTCCCGAGTGGAGTCTGCTTAAGACTCTCTCTCCCTCTGCCTCTGCCCCTCCCCCCCATATGTGCTCTCCCTTTCTCAAATAAATGAATAAATCTTAAAATAAAAAAAAGTCTAACTCATCACAGAGAAGAGGGGCTCCATCAAAGATGGGAATGGGATGCTATATATAATAAAATATAACTTTAAAATCTCAATGGCTTCACACAGTAAAGATTTACTTCTTGTTCCAGCAAAGTCCAATGTGGATCTTGGTGACTCCCGGGCAGCTCTCCTCCAAGCAGTGAAATCAGAGATTTGGTCTTCCTCCATTAGGAGGCTTTGCCATCTCAGAACCTTTTGTTTCCAGACTCATGCAGATGGAGGAGAGAGGGTGTGGAAGATAACCTGGGATATTTTACGGGCAAATGTGGAAGTGGCAGGCTTTTCTTCTACTTTCTTCCTATTGGCTGAACTCAGTCATATGGTCCATACTTAGATGCAAGCGGGCCTGGGAAATGTAGCCTATATCTAGTGAACATAGCATTGTCTCTGCAGAGGAGTTGTCAAGCTCTTCCAGTCCCTCTATCAAAAGCATAAGGAAGAGAGACTTAAGTTCAAGTGTTGTCTTGACACTAAATGACCACCCTAATATCCTGTCCCTTTTTCGGGCCTCAGTTTCCTCATTTGCCAGATGGTTTTGGAAGCTCATCCCTCATAGCTACATGACGGCCAGATGTAAGAGGAGAAGTAGAGTGCTGGTTGGAAGAAATCCTGGAGAAAGCTGCACCCACCTGAGGTCTGACTATGCCCAACTTAATTTTCCATCTTCTGCAGCCAGGACAGCTCAGCAGATTCTCCTGGTTGTTGAGAAGGCCCTCCCTGTGAAGCTCAAGTGCCTGTGGTATCTTTGAATGCTGGTATTGTTGGGGAAGAGGGATTTTCAGGGAATGAAAGAAGAGTTGGAAGCTAGATATGAGAATCTACCAGAGAACTCTGGCAATGGCCCTGAAGACTCAGTGGAGGCCCTAGAGATACAGGCATTAATCCAAGGAGATGCTGGACTTGTGGCTGAGGAGCCGGGATTGTGTGTGTTGGGGAGCTGATGCTCGCTCCAGTGGACATCCACTGTTTGGTCTGCCCCAGACCACTCTTCCAGGAATCAACTCTCCCATCCCCAAACTACAAGGTTGCAGTGGGAACGGCTATGTTTCTACAATATGACCCTGGTCCCTGGTCACTTGACTGGTCCAGGTCAGGCACTTGACCCATATTGGAACAATTATTTTTCTGCTTGGAATTTTGAAGAGATAGAGATGAGAGAGGAAGAGTTATGTTAACTTCTCTCCAGCTGATTGGTCCAATAACATATAACTCTGAGGTTTTCTTGACAGCCGTATTTTCCTCGCTGTGTAGAAGTAACAAGCAGGAGTAACTGGTCTGATGAGAGAGAACAAAAGATGAGGAGACTCCCAAGGGCATCTGAGTTTCTGGTTCTGCTCCATTCCTGAGACCAGGCTGTAATCTTGTCCCTTGTCTATGTGACATGCCTCCGTATCATTATCATTAACTTTCTCCTTGATAGTGCAGGTGGATGTTTGTTATTTACAATCCAAAAAAGCTAAGGAATAATAAGAACTTTCTTATCAGAGACGTTTATTTATTCAAGTGCATTCTTCTGGTGCAACTACTATGTTCGGGTACCACGCAAGGTGCTGGAAATCCAATGATGAATAGGAGAGCCATAGAATCTACCCTAAGGGACCTTATACTTGGAGGCGGGATAAAAGGCCAGGGCAGGGTAAACCTGGAACAAGTACTATCCAGGTAAAATCCAGGTTTATGAGAACATATAACAAGATTTTGAGAACATACAAGCAGAAAACTGAAGGAATGAGCAGGAATTGAGTGGAAGGAATTGGGCATTAGGATGTAAAGAAGGGAGAACATCCCAGTCCAGAAGAAGAGCGTGAATGATAACTCTATCATGAGGTCGGCATCCTCTGGAGAGACAGCAACTCTTCAGTTAAAGGTCCTGGTTTCTCACCTACCCCTACTTTGGGCCCCCAGCTAATACACTGGTAAGAAGACTCTTTCCTTTTGCCTGAAAGCAGCCCAGCAGGGACCACTCCCTCTTGTCCAGACTCTTCCATTCCTTGTTGAGATATTGCAAGGGGAGAAATACAAAATGCTCTCTTTCCTTCATTCCCCTTTTGGTAGAGAATTGCTAGATTTCACCCTATAGCTATTATCCTCACCTTCCTTACTCCTATGTTGAGGGCAGCAATGTGGCTGGCTAATAAAACCACATTTCCCAACCTTCCTTGCAGAGGGGGATGGCTACTGAGAAGTCAGTGGAAGTGACTGGGTAGGGTTTTTAGAAAGCTGTTTAAAGGGGTTCACTAGCTAGCAAGCACCCCTTTGTCCTTTCCCCCTGTTCTTGCTTATTTGTCCCTGGGACATGAACTTGAGGGGTAGGTGAGAACCTACCCTCTCCCTATGCCCCTCCCCCAGTTCGTCCAGCAGTCATTTTCATCTGTGAGTTGAAGTCATGTGCTAAGGATGGCAGAGCAGAAGATAGGATTCCAGCTTCTGAGACTTGTAGAGTCCCCATACCAGCCTGGCCCACCTGAAGACGGTTTATCATGTGAGAGGAAAATAAGCCTCTATCTTATTTAGGCCACTGTTGTTTTGGATCTCTCTTACTAAGGGCTGAACAAAAGTCCTCATTGGTGTAACCCTAAAAGCCCTCTCATAACTCAGTTTCTCTTC